TGATGATCTCCGTCAGGTGCTCTTCTTACCGCGCACTGGTGCATTACAGAGAAGCTGCACCCGCGGAGTAGGCATTGCGATTTTGTGTGTGTGGCTTCGCCGCGTAGCACCCCATGTTAAGTGGTAGAACAGTTTTCCAGGGTGGAGTAATACACGTCCGCGTTCGTATTTCAAAAGAAAGAAAAAAATGTTGAATGCTGATTGACAATATATATGTGGCATTAAAATTTTCGCTATAAAATTGCGAGTGGTTTCTACGATGGACTGCAACCTTCTGACAAGTTGCGTGCGTCATTGGTCGCAGTCGTGTCTTTTTTTTAAAGATTTATGGAAGGGAACCTGAAACTTTTGTATTGGGAAAGGATTTATGAATCGCATTGATAAGTTTTAACTGGGCTGCGCCAACACCTCCTAGATAATAAAGCCTAAGTGCTTAGTAGGGGGTGTTGACTACGTCAAAGGTTGATTTTTATGTTAATTAATTAATCAATTAATTTTATTTATTTCAAGTACCCCCAGGACCAGAGGCATTACAGAGGGGAGTGGGAGTAGTAAGGTGATTAAATAGAACACTCCGAAACAAGGTGCTGATGGTGACGGTATGCTCCGGAAGGTCGTTCCAGTTTACAATGGCGTCCGGGAGGGCAGGATAAAGGTATGCCGTTGAGCTGCATTTGGGCCGGGCTATTTTGCAGGGTTGATCAGACCTTACCGAAACGCAAGTGGGCGGGTGAAGAAGAGACTGGTGTAAGGTTGGGTTGTAATACATTTTGTGCAAGAGACACAGGCGGGAGATGTTACGACGAATAAGAAGATTGTGGATGTTAAGTTGAGCTTCCATGGCAGACATGTTGGAGAAACGTGAGTAATCAGACAGGATGAAGCAGACGTCTCGGTTCTGGACCGACTCCATTGTGTTCTCTAAAGTGAATGGGTGAGGACTCCAAATGGAAGCTGCATATTCTAACTTTGGGTGGTCAAGGATAACATAGAGAAGACATTTAAAGGCAGGGGAGGCGAAGCTAAAGTTGCGGCTTAAATATCCTGAACCGCGACTTGCTGATGCTATGATAGTATTAATATGAGTATGGCGGATGGAGATCAGAAGCAATGTGGACCCCTAGGTACTTGAACTCGTTAGTATACACAAGGGCTCTACTGTGAAGGCTGAAATTCCGCTGGGGAGAAGATGGATAACGGGAGAAACACATGCATTTACATTTACATGGGGTCCGAAGATTACCCAATCAATATTTTGCTACAGCATCAAGTATATTTTAATAAAGTCAAAAAAACGCAACTGCTCGAAACCGAAACCGAAACTGGACTGGGAAGAAAAAAAGAAATGTAAAGGAGAAGGAAGTTACCAAACATCACGTGGCTGCGCAATTTTTTTTTTTTTTTTTCAGTCAACGTATTTCCAGCTTTTAAGAAGCCACAAAAAATGGGTATCATATTTTTGTCTATTTTTAGTATTGAGTGTGTGCCTTCGATGACCCACGACTTTGATTATATTTGGAGGTTGTGCCTAAACCATAGAAAAGGGCACGTGACCACGGAGAAGAGAGTGATCACTCAAACCGGCCAGTTCTCGATCGGCAGTTTTCGGGCGAAAAGGAAACGAATTTTGAGCCGCGGATTGTGTTCTGGGTGGTTGGGCTCTCTCATATGTCATGTACAAATAAAAACCTTGGAGAGCATAAATATCCTGTTAGTGTCCCTTTAAGAGTCATCTGCCACGTAGAACACCAGTCGGCTATTTTATTGATGTCAGTCTGCATGTTAAAAAGACATCGGGATTTTCTTTTTTTTTTTTCTGTGGACGACACAATCATCCGCGAAGAGACGAATGGAGGAAGAGATGTGAAGTGAGAGATCATTTATGTATTTTAGGAAAAGCAGAGTCCCAAGAACTGTTCCTTGAGGGACACCCGATGTGACAGGAATAGAAGCGAAAGATGCGTTGAATCAACGCGGACATACTGTGAACGACGCGAAAGAAACGAAATAATCCATGCCAGCACTTGAGGATCAAAGTTTACGGTGGATAATTTATTAAATTAAAGGTTATGCGGAATCTTGTCAAAGGCCTTAGCGAAATCGAGAAACGCTGCATAAGTTGGATAACCGGAGTCCATATTCTGAAAAAGGTCGTTAGTACGTCAGGTTAAGTTTGGTATCGGAGGACAGGGGACTTGCGAAAACCATGCTGAGAGTTGCAGAGGAAGTTGTTATAATCGAGAAATGTATGGAGTTGCTTGGAGACGATATGCTTTAGAAATTTAGAAGATTTGCAAGTTAAGTAAATTGGCCTATAATTGAGAAGGAATGTTTTAATATTACCCTCGTGAAGCGGGGCGACCCTGCCGAATTTCCAATCGTCAGTTACCTCTCCCGTCTCCAGCGATTGTTGGAATATTCTGGTTGAGAAAAGGGCAGAGGCAGGCTTTGTGCTACGAACCACTTTATAACTTATATTGTCTATGCCACAGCACGAAGATATTTTTGAAGAATCAATAATTGTAACAATTCAGGTGAAATCGATTATAATAGGATGCACTGGGAAGCAATCGCGTGAGACGGGGAAGGCATGATTGACACGAGTGGGATCAGTAAAAACACTCGAAAGCATATGATTAAAAAGAGATGCGCATTCATTATCCCGGATGGGAATATCCAAATCATCAACTAGCTTAATGAAATAATGTGGCTTTGGATTCACAACAGACCAGAATTGACAGGGGTTAGTCTGCAGCATACTAGGGAATGTATCATAAAAGAAATTACGTTTACGCTCACGTAACTGAGTTTTATACCTATTGGCGCAAACATTCTATCGCAACCAAGATTCTGGCGTGTTCACAAATTTGGCTGTACGGAACAGTCGTTTCTTTTGGTTGGAAAGAGAATGGAGCGAACGAGTAAACGATGGGCTCGATGCATTACATTTGATTACGGTACGAGGAACGTAGAGCTCAATAAAGCCATGCAGCTTATGTCGAAATAAGCACCAATTTGTATTAACACTTCTAGACTTAAAATTCAAAATATACAAGGGAAAGTAATTTTATAGACACGCGTTAATTAAATCAGTCACCCTTATTGTACAAACGTATTTTCTTTTCCACACGCCTATACACTTGGGGGGGTTAGAACATCAAGTAAACAATGCAATGCTTTGTGGTCGCTCAACCCATCTAGGCAGGACATTGAATGAGCCAATGCAGGGCTATCAGAAATAATTAAATCTAGAGAGTGCTAGAAGAATTGCCTACGACTCTAGTGGCGAAAGGAACCAGCTGAGTGAGATCAAACGTCAAACACAAATCTAGGAAGAGGCCCATACCGTTCGTGGACGCAGTCAGTAAAGTTTAAATTAAAATTGAACTGATTTCACCAGTGGAATGAAAGCTTTAGAATCCTATTAATAAGTTACGCTGTATTTTAACGCATTCTTATTCTCACGTGCTGACTTTGCACTACTATAATATCCCTACGTGTAAGGTGCCATTAATCACCTCTACAAGTTCACTTTGCTTCGCAGTGGATGTTAACAATATGGCTGCACATAACTGGGAAGGCAAAGAAGCGCCGTCTTTTATATTCAAAGGCCAATGCATGAATCTTGAAATAGTATTCGCAGTGGAATGAATGATAATGAAGGTATGCTTCCAAAACTTTTCTTTGCTGCTCCAAAACGGACTTTTGGCTGCTCCAAGAGGTGCGCCATAATGACTCGATCCAATCACATCTTGGCGATTCTGAGCCATAAATATTTAAAGATACCTCTCTATGCTACAGTTGCTCCTACACCAGTTCGAATCGAAGGATCCTCTTACGTTGTGCGGCCTGACTTCACCAAGCAGAGTGGTTGAGTCTGATCTTAAACCGAACTACTTTGTTTGCGCACTGACCAGCCGCTGGTCGTAGCCGTGAAAACCGGTAACAGGCGACAGCAGTTTGCTCCGTTCCTTCCTTGATGTGAACATAAAAGCGCCTATTTATTTCATTAGCGAAGGCTGCGTAGAAACAGCTGGAAGCATCTACTTAAAATTCACCACCTGCGCGCCATAAGTGGGTTCGCTGCGGTAGTCCCCTGAAACGACACGTGGGAATTTTCCTCGCAGCGGCCAAGCCATCCCGTTCCAGACTAAACCGCGAGACAGCTTCGGAACGTTGTCTCTCGAGCATCCGCCAAAACGAAGGGACAGTCCGGAGCCGACAGAGAAGAGACCAGCTTGAGCCCGGGGCTCTGGGATCCTTCCGATATCCCGGAATATCCAGCTCAAAGGGCCGCATGTCTCGAAAAACAAAAGCCAAAAAGAAGTAGAAATATACGGGCAGGCGAAAGACTGAGAGGACGAGACGACGCTAACCAGAGGAGATGAGGAACTCCCCCGGTTCGGGGCCCCTCCGTGTCATCCTCGTGAGCCCTGCGAGATCTCAAGAGACTCGGCTTTCCTGCAAGATGTCTTCCCGGCGCGCCGTGATCGGAGGTACAACACGGACCCCTTGGATTCCCCAGGGGCGGCGATCTGGACGTGCGACAAGACTGACGTCGAGAAAGAAAAGCGAGCTTCGTTGCTCTCGTACCCTCGAATAGCGGCGTTCGCACGTACACACGGGGACCACGGCGTGATCGGGAGAGCAGTCAGACATGGCCCGAGGGGGTCGCGTATGCCGAACGTGGCGGCTCGCGGGCACACGCCGCGGCCCGTTTCGTAATCGGCTTTAACGCGAGATCGGGCGACACTTGGGCCGCCTGGATTTCCGCGAAAGTTGTGGGACACGCGAAGAGGAGGGGGAGACAGTGGCGTGTTTTGTTTTCGTTTTTCTCACCCTACGTCAGCGGTGACGAGGGTTCGCTACTACGCGCGCATGTGGGACCGCATTCTCGGCGGGATCGCGCGTATCGCGGTCAAGAAAAGTCTGGCGATAAGGGCTTTGATTTCCGGTGAGGCGGTGAAGGACCAGAATGAGGGCGTAACATTGGCCTTATCTCTATTCCAGCAACCGCTTGGCGTTTTGATCTAGAGATAGTACCCGCGCGCTCAACTCTCTTGCCGATAGCCGTTTTGTCACGTACTTCGGCGTCCCCGAAATTCTTATGTCGGCTCGCCGACATTCTTCTCTCCAGCGATGGACAATTGTGGTTATGTATAGGCTGACAAGCCATCGATCTTGGTGGCAGATTTTCCTCACCTCGATGCTCGATCCCCTTCCCCAAAACACTGTCCACGTCCTTGGCTTCCGTTTCGGGTTCCACCGGGCGTTAGCCCGATAGGCCCGATAACGGCGCCTTTAACGCTCGCCCGAGGAAGCCGGGTGCAAATCGTTTCGCGCTACATCCTCGAACCAGCATCGACGTGATTCCTACAGCCGTGGCGCGGGTAAGATCAGCCTGCCACGGTCCAGAGCACCAGGCGACCCCCTCGCACCCTCCCCTCCGATCTGTCAAGCGCCGCGCACACTTCCTGCTGGGACCTCGCTGCAGCAGCCCCGCGCTCTCCTCGCGGCAAACTCCATCGCGCCGGATTTATCAGTGCGTTGCGGCGCCTTCGGCAGCTGAGCGAAGCCTCGAGGATCGTCCTTTCGGTGGGCTTTCCCTTCGAGCGTCCCCGTTGGGCTTGCCCGCTCGCCACGGCGCGCGCCCCCCTCGCCTATCGTGGTTCCCTCACCTGCCCAAGGAGCCGCCTTCTTCAGAGAGCCGCGCCGCCGCGCTCCAGGGAAGCTCCCGCACTCTCTGTCCAGTGCGGCCAGCGTGCGGCGGGTACCCGGCCAGCGCGCTTTTGCCTACCTTCCCCGAAGAAACCCAGCGAGACCCTCCCAGCTCGCCGCCGAGGACTTGCCAAATTCTATTTCGAGCGGCCACTTGTCTCCACCGCGGACGGGATGCAGCCAGCGGCGCAGGCTCCGAGTCCGCGCTAGGCGCTACTCCGGGGCTCGCGCTCGCTGCCTGGTGCTCCTCCGCGGGATGTGCGGCCGCTAAGACGGCTGCGCTGCCCGAGTGCGCCCCTGGATTGTTGTGCGCGGATCGGACGCTTTCGGGCGGTGGCGGCGACATGAAGCGCAGCGGGATCGCTGGGGGCGGCAGTGGGCTGGGCAAAGTGTCCGACCGATGGATGAATAACGTGCAGGACATCATCGAGTGGGGACACGTCAAGACCTACATGCGCAGGTGGGTGTCTTTTCGCGCGTCACCCGCGTGGTTTCCCCTTTTTTTTTTTTTTCTTACTGTTCTTTTTCGGTGTCGGCTGATGACTTCGGGGTATCGGCCCGCTCGCGTCTAAGCTGCTTTGTCGTGCGAAGGATTTCGGCGTTGCAGAAATCTTCTGGTACTGCGCCGAAACTCTTGAGCATGGCCTTTCGACTCGCGAGCGAGTGAAATGTATTTTGAGAATGTGGCGTTGCAGAAATCTTCAGGTACTGCGCCGAAACTCTTGAGCCTGGCCTTTCAACACGCGAGCGAGTGAAATGTATTTTTAAAATGTTTCTGTGAGAAGGGATGCATCCATGAATTACGGCCGCGCACCAGTATATCGCCTCGTTTGCCGTCAACTTCGTCGAAACCTTCCAGATACGAACTTTATTCTTGTCCTTCGTTGGGACGGTGCCTACGACGCCCTCGCTCTTTCTGGTGTCGTTTAAGATGTCGGCGTTTCTGTCGGATTTCTGGCTATTGTGGGCTGCACTTATATAAACAGTCGTGTCAGCGTATGAAGGTTTTGGCTCCGTCGCTGAAGTTTCCTGCGGTGTTGTGAGGGGCCGCTAGCAATGGTTCGAATCGAATTGCGCAGTGTCATCCCTAGTTTCAACACTTAAACCATTTGCCATGGCTGTCCCTTCCACTCTGAAGGTGATGAATGACTGTGTTATTAGACTCGAACCATTATTCGCACACCTTTGGTCTTTATGCGAGGGCGGGTTTCCAGCAAACAGGGGGTTCCGCGGACTTATACGCGGGCGGCGGCTGTGCCTTTGATAGCGCCGTAACGCAACTATAGTGAGATAGATGGGTGGATTCGCAAGTTCAGCCCGAGCTTCCCGAAGGCCAACGACCCCGAGCCAACGCGCAGCCTCTGCAGCGGTTCCGACCAGGATCTTGCTTGTTATGGTCTGGCCCATTCTGCTGACGCGCCAGCGGGCTTCCGTTATTTTGGGCTCTCAGTTTGGGAAAGCTGTATATCGCGGCCACTCGATTCCCGCTCCGTCTCTGTATGTAGGAAACGCTTGCTGGCCACGAGCCGAGCCTTTTTTTTCGGCCCGACTCAGTCAGTACTCGGCTTTTCATGTCGCCCTTTTTTTTTTGTGTGTGTGTGTGTCTTTTTTTTTTTATCCCTTTATATCTTTCCTTGTATAACGTAGTATATGTGAGAAACACGAAACTAAAACAGGTGTTGTGTGCTTCCTTCCCTCAGCGTGTACTGTGAGCGTTGTTTGCCGTGCTAAATCCGTTCCGTACACTACCTAGACAGCGAGGCCATACCGCTGGAGTTTCTACGCCGACCTACCGCGAGCCATTGTGGGGCGCGGGTCGGACGTTGCGTCGACTTTCGGCTGAGATTCATGTTCAGTCAGTGAGAAACACAAGGGACGCTCAACGCTCATGTCCAACTTATGCTCCGGCATCCGCTGTAGATTCCCATCACCCGTCCTCTCAATGTTTGACGTTCAAGTTTTGTTCTCCGCGCTTGCGTGCCATCTGATCGGACTGCGTATTATCGCGGACCGACTTAACGTCGTTGTCTCTGTCAGTCATTTTGCACATTTGGTGCCAATACCTAGTGTTTTCTTCTTTTTTATTTTTCCCCATCTCGTGTTTACCAAATATTGTGGTGTCTGGTGCTCCGTCGTGTTGCTGTATCGTTTTCTCGACTGCGGTTACCGTCGACGGGGCATTGCGCGCGGGTTTGTTTCGCCTGTCTGAAATTCTTTGTTCCGTTCATTTTACCTTTGTCCATAAAGGATAAACGTTCCCATCAGGGGTGGTGATTCCCAGCGATAAAATCCGTTTGCAATTACGAATCGTCTAGTATGTAGAACGTAGAACATATAAAACTTGTTTTCAAAACGCAGACGAAAATCTCTTCTCTCTCCCGGCCCTTCCTCCATATAAGTGTTTGGAGAGGTACAATCAAAAAATATTTCTCCCTTTACTTTCCCGCCGTGTCTCATATCTCGTAGGATACTGAAGCGCACTTCACAGATAACAGAATGCCGAGCGCATGTCTGCGTGGCCTCTGACGTATTGGGCCAGTTGCACGGTTCAGGGCACCGATATCGGGCAGCCGATGTCGCTCGAGTGACGAGCCAGATTGCAAGGCGGGGGCTTTTGTAAGTTGCGCTAGCAACTTCCCACTCGGATGACGATCTTCGGGATGAGTAGTCATAAACCGGCTGTAATCGACACCGGACAAACGCGCGGCCGAAAAAACCCGGTGTCGTATAAATAGAAAAAAAAAAAATGCACGAAGTTTTTGACAACGCTTTGCACTTTTCTAGTCTGTCAAACTGAATCTATGTTGACACTTGCTTTGCGTCGATGCAGATCCAAGAAAGAAGGCAGACCAGGATTGCGATCAGATATCTTGAAACTTGCATAGAAAAATAACGATATGCGAAGACATGTATAACTTCTAACATGTATTTTTTTTTTCGTTGCGCTTACATTGTTTTGGGCCAGTTTTCTCGCGGTCAAATGGGGTTGAGTAGTACATACGTGTATCATCGATAAACAGTCTAAGGTGCAGGCGACACTGTAGGTGCTGCGGAAAACAGAACATGACAAGGAACAGCCGTGAAAAAACGGCAGAGACACTTATGTGTTCAGTGATGGAAATGCTGCGCCAAAATGTGCCATGAACGAGGCTCTGCTACATCTTGCGCCAAAATGCCATTTTTACTCGCAATTGCGCCACACCGGCGCCGAGATTGGAGCAAGTGAGGCTATATTTTGTATTTTGCTCAATTAACTAATTAAGATTAATTAATGAACTTTTGAAATATTCAATTTCGAGCAAACGTTCCAATGGCGAAGTTCTAGAGCGTCCTCAGAAACATCAAATTCAGTGGTTTTTATCAAGAAACCTCTAATACGGTTCGTTTTTCGGGGCTTCAAGAGAGTGCCCAAATTATAAAGAAAAAAATACAAAAATAAACGCGAATTTGTCAACAGCGCTTAATCAAGAGTGCTCTAGTCAGCATGCAGGCCTAATTTATTCAAACCACGGCTGAGAGCGCTGCAATGCAAGGTGCACATGCGCGAAGTCACGTGTTTTTTTTTTTTTTTCTTCCATAATGCGCAAACTTTTTTCGAATCCCATTAAAAAAAAGGTGTTAATGTTTCTTGATAAATACCACTGAATTGAATGTTTCTGAGAAGGCTCTACAACTTTGTCATGGGAACTTTCGCTCTAAATTGAATATTTCAAAAGTTAATTAACCCTTATAAATTAGACATTTGAGCAAAATAAAAAAAAATAGCCTGACTTGTTCCAAACAATGCACAAACGTATTCGGTTGGTTTCATCTTCCTAAAACGCACCCAAATACTTTTAAACCTCGGCTCAAGTTACGTGGAATACCCTGTATAATATTGTTCGACCCTAATATCCGGAGAAGTAGACGGAAAGAAAAAATGTACAAATATGAATTTCACCGCGTCTGTACTCTTCGTATGGTTCGTTTCGTCTTAGGTCTGAGCACAGTCAAGCGCTCAAACACATACAACCACAAACGTACACATACTAAAAGCGCAAGTCACGGGACATTCGCTGCACTGGATTGAGATGAAAGAACACCTACAAGGAGATGAGGAATGCCCCAATGTCGCGCTTTGATGCGGCGAATCAACCGGCCAGCACATTGGATGCTGGGCATTAGGCGCTCTGGCCGGTTGATGTTCTGGCTGGTTGATCGCCGACATCGTCTAAATTTCCAGACGATGTAGTCGATGTCAGGAACTGAGTCTCCAGAAAACTTTGCAAAATAGTAGAATTGCCGATTGCGGCTACTGTGATAAGACGAAACCATGGTCTTGTACACTCGATGGGATCACTTGATTATCGTGTTTGTCACATGCCTTCGTTCCGTGGTTGCAAAGTACCGTGGCACTTGGGCGCCTCTCGCCAGGGTGCGCGTGTCGAGCTTCGCCGCTTTGCACCGGAGTGCTAGGAGCAGCGGCTGACCTGGGGGAGCGCCTGGCTTTGCGCGATAGGCACGCAAATAATGCTCAGGATTATTACCTTCTTTGTCCTAATTCTAAGCTAATCTATAATAAATAAAAAATTAAAAGAAAAACCTGAGCTTAGAAAGAGAGAGAAAACACGGATCAAGATATATTTGAATGAATGAGTATAGTCCCGTGCAGCTGTCGATCGAAAGAGCAGCCAACTTCGACCTAAATCTGGTTCCCACACCGCTTAAGAGCAGTGTCACCTTTAAAGCGCAAGTGTGGGCCTTTATATTTTGGGCTGGTTGTTTTCGCAGTTTATCATATTAAGAGTCTTGAGTTGGTAGGTGCATTAAACTTTCAGGACGCTATTTTATTGGTAGACGTGTTAGCGGATATGCTGGTCCTTGCTGGCATTTTACAGAAATATGTTTGCAGGCTAAACAAACTACCGAGTGTAAAATGGAGAGGGGAGATAGGGTTTATTCCAATGAATTTACTACGATTCCATTTTCAACATTTTTTTTTTTAAATACCCATTGTAAACCAAACGTACTCTAATTAGAGCCTTGTTTAACCCCTTACCCATTTTTAGTTTCGGGTAATTTCTGACCCTCAACTGCTTAATTGTTGTCGCCAAAATTACATTTGTTGCCTTCAAAATCAATTTTCTAATCACAAACAAAATGAGAGCATAAAGGAACAAAATCAGTGCTGCCATTTGTTGGCAGAGCCTCAAACCAAACCGCGAGCGAGTCTGGTTCGTCCAAGACAGTTGAGTGCGTGGACCGAGGAAAGCAGACGAGTTATCCTCGCCCTGAACGGTTTGGGGACGGCTCCATGTGGACGAGCTGGGCTCGTCTAAATCGTTAAAGAAGTTGAGAAGACTGTTTTCCTTTTACGCCCTATCTATTCTTATCATAAACGGTAATGATATGCTCGAGTATCAAATAGTAACCCTTGATCACTATCATAAATGAACTGATTTAGAGACGCGATCACTTTTT